CATATTCGCACTTATAATAAAATTTATATATAAAAAAAAAAATTTTTGTTCAGTTGACTGGAGAATTGCCTATTAATAAAGTTTTTATTGTGTTTTTATTGTGTATTTAAAGTTGAGCTATTGCCTCTTTTTTCTTCTTTAAGTCTTTATTTTTGGTATATCGAGTTAAGCCATTATTTCTTCTATCTTTTCTTGAGTATTTTATTGTATTTTAGGATTAGAGCTATCACTTTTTTTCTTTATTTTTGGTTTATTGCTTTACTTTAAAGTCTCTTTTAGTTTTCTTTCTTATTTTTATTATTTTCTTATTTGCAAACACATTTCTTAATCCTTTTATATGTTAAGTCAAGTAGTATAATTTTACTAAAACCCTGTATTGCTATATTACAGTATATAAGAATATATACTTAATATATTGAGATATAAAGTATGATATAAGTTGGATTAAAAAAAAATACTATTATCAATTTTAGAAATTTTCTATTTTATAATAAAGTTGTTGAGAGAAGAGTTGTTATTTATTAATTTTAAGAGTTTTAGTTTTTGTAACAGAGTCAATAAGATGTTGTTATAGTTGAGGTTGTTGTTGTTAAGTATTAGAATTTGAAGTAATGAAGTCTGTATAGGATATGATTAGAACAGAAATTTTAAAATTTTTAATTAAATATTGATTTGTTTAATTAATATATGATTTCTTTAAATTTCTTTTAAAGATTATAATAGTTGATTTAGAAATTTGAATAAGATCATAGTAAGTAATAACTCTGGCCAAAATATAAGAATTTAAAGATTTAAAAAGAAATTTTATTAAGTGCTTCTTTGAGATTAATATCTGTAATTTAATTATTAGTTGCAACAATTTTTAAATATGCTTTAAGATAGTTGTAAATAAAAAATAATATTTGTTTCGAACTTAAAGTTTAAAAGTTTGTTTTAGAAAGTTTTAACTTACTGCATTTGATAAGTTTTTGGTTAAGGGTGATAAATTTTTGTTCTGCTTAATTAGTAAAGTTATAAAAATCTTTAAAAAAAAGTTAGTAAAAAAAGTAGCAATATGAAGTTGATTAGATAAAAAGATAAAATTATCTAAAGTTAGATAAACAAGTTTAGAGTAGAGGTTAGAACCAGTTTTAATAATTCAGGTTTATCATATGAATTTTGTGATATTTTAAAATTTAATCTAATTAAGGATAGGATGTCAATAGATCATTTTTCATATGATCTACATGGCAAATTAAAATTTTATATAGATTTTAAAATTCATCTCTGATAAAACTTTTTAGAATTGTGACTAATATTCACCAAATTTTTGTAGTATTTAATTTGGGACCTCTTATTTATAGCAGTAAAATTATGAATACTATATCTTTTAAAAAAATTTAACTTTGTATATTGATAAAAAATCTTAGGTAATCATGAATTTTCTTAGATTGCACAAAAATAACTAATTCTGATTGGTTGAATCTATTGTTTTGCCAATTTTGATTGGTCAATCACATGATTTCCTATGTAAATGTTAATTTGCTATGTAGATCATATAAAAAATGATCTACAGACACCCTACCTTTAAAATTTAATAAATTCTAAAATATCACAAAATTTATATGATAAATCCAAATTATTAAAACCAGTTCTAACCTTTAGTTTAGAGGCAATTAAGTTTTGAAAAGAATGTTTAAAAAAATAAGTAGTTAAATTACAAAGATTATATATAAAGTTTAGTATAAGAATTATATATTTAATTAGATCTGTATATATGTATTGCAGTTTTAATAGTAGTGTTTGTATAGTTTTGAATAAATAGAATAGTAGAGAATTAAATTTCCTTAGGAATAGATTTTAGTATTTATTATTCATTATTATCAATATTTAAAATTTAATATAATTTTAAACTTTTTATTTGTTAATAGTATTAAATTGTTTTTGGTAATATGAAAAAATTTTAAAACCTTTGTTAAATTCTGTTGAAAATAGAGGGAAAAAGGAAATATAATATATTGCATATCTGCTGATCCTTGGAATTGGGCCTCAAATTATAACCCCAAAATATTTGATTATCCGATTTTGATTGGTCAAATGATCAGGAAAATTACTTGACGCTCCTTAAAAAAAACAAAAAACTATAAGAAATAAGTGTCAAACCCATCACCCGTCACTAAAACCCATTACTTTTTTATAGGTAAGTTAATTGTAATGGTCAAAAGATTCAAGCAATTAGAAAAATTATATAACAAAATACAAATATAATTTTTTTCTAGTTTTTTTTTTAATTAAACGAACCAAAAATATGAGTGCTTTAACATACAAACTAAAGTGCTTAACTTGCCAAAAAGAGTTCAAAACTAATCGTGGGTTTTCACGACATAATAACACTATCCACAAATTAAATAAACTATCAGTAGAGCAAAAAAAAATACCTGTTTCAATAATCGCCAATATTAAAGGTGATATTGTATATTCTATTCATCGACGGTTGGGTAAAAATTCAAAAAATACTGGTCTTCAAGCAGTTT